TGGGGGGGGGGGGGTGGAATGAGTGGTGGTGATGGAGGGGGGAAATGGGATCAGTGGCAGTGCTGGTGGGGGAATGGGATCAGTGACAGTGCTGGGGGGGGATAAAATGAGTGGCAGTGTTGGGGCGTGGGATCACTGGCAGTGCTGGGGGGAATAAAAAGAGTAGCAGTGCTGGTGGCGGTGGGATTAGTGCAGTGCTGGGGAGAGGGTGGGATCAATGGCAACGCTATTGGAGGGAACAGTGGCAGAGCTGGGAGGGGGGAATCATTGGCAGTGCTGGAGGGAATGGAATGAGTGGCTGTGCGGCTGGGGGGATGGGATCAGTGGCAGTGCTGCTGGGGGGAGGGTGGGATCAATGGCAGTGCTGGCTGGGGGATTGGTGGCAGTGCTGGGGGGGGGGGAATGAAATGGGTTGCCGGCAGGAGAGAGGGTGGAATCAGTGGCAGTGCTGGGGGGAGGGTGGGATCAATGGCAGTGCTGGTGGGAGGATCAGTGGCAGTGCTGGGGGGAGGGTGAGATCAATGGCAGTGCTGGTGGGGGGGATCAGTGGCAGTGCTGGGGGAGGGTGGGATCAATGGCAGTCCTGATGAGGGGATCAGTGGCAGTGCTGGGGGGAGGGTAGGATCATTGGCAGTGCTGGCTGGGGAGTCAGTGGCAGTGCTGGGGGGGAATGAAATGAGTTGCAGTGCTTGTGGAAGAGAAGGTGGAATCAGTGGCAGTGCTGGGGGGAGGGTGGGATCAATGGCAGTGCTGGTGGTGGGATCAGTGGCAGTGCTGGGGGGGATGGTGGGATCAATGGCAGTGCTGGCTGGGGAGTCAGTGGCAGTGCTGGGGGGGGGGATGAAATGAGTTGCAGTGCTGGTGGGAGAGAAGGTTGAATCAGTGGTAGTGCTGGGGGGAGAGTGGGATCAATGGCAGTGCTGGGGGGGGTCACTGGCAGTGCTGGGGGGGGGAATGGAATGAGTGGTAGTGCTGGTGGGGGAATCAGTGGCAGTGGGGGGGGGGAGAATCAGTGCCAGTGGGGGGGGGGGTCAGTGGCAGCGCTGGTGGAGAGATGGGATGTATGGCAGACCAGTGTGAGTGGGGGGGATGGGAATGCACACCTTTTCTCCATAGCCCCTTAGGTGGGTTCTCCATTAGGCTCCATGAAGGTCAGGTATGCACTGCACTGCTGGCTCAGCGGATGACAGTCCTGCTCCGGGAACTTAGGCCAAGGCTCTTGATCATCGGCTGATATGAGGACTGCACTGGGTACACACTCTCTCTCCAGATCCGTGGTGCCTGCAGTGACACCTAGCCCATGATCAGGAGATGGGGTCTCCTCCAGCCCTCCCCATTCATGGCCGGCCACAGAGAGGTTGGGTGAGCAGAGTGGGTTCAAGGAGCAGCCCAGCTGCCGCAGCTGCTCTGGGCCCCACAGGGGACATGTGGCCCGATGTGCCCTATGGCCAGTCCGGGCCTGACTTTAATACAGGCAGTGCAAGTCCCTGAATGTGACCCGGTATCAGCCTCCTGCATAGGGTGGCCACCTCATCCCCTGAAACCCGAACACATATTAATGACACCGGCTCTGGGCTAAGGTGGTCAATAAAACCCACTTTGGTGCCTTATCTGCATTAAAATAGCCTCAGAACCCGTGCAAGTAATATGTGTTGGGGTGTAAAGGGATGAGGTGGCCGCCCTTCTCTTGCAGTCCCTGAGTGTGAGCGGAAGAAGCAGCACAAGGAGTCAATCAGTGCATGCGCTAACAAGAAGCATATGGACAGGAGGAGAGAGCAGAGTGACAGAGAGATGAGCTCACCACTGTGCTGCTTCTCCTTTCACTTGTTCATTCACAGGCCAGGGGAGGGTTTTTAGGACGGGGTAGGTGACCTGCGGCTCACTAGCTGTTGTGGAACTACATTTCCCATGAGGCATTGCAACATTACAAAACTGACAGTTACAGCTATGACTTGCAGAGGCATGATGGAACTTGTAGTCCTGCAACAGCTGGAGAGCCGCAGGTTGCCTACCCCTGGTCTAGGATGACCTGGGCTCAGAGGAAGTGGTTGGAATGATGGTGGACAGCATACTGAGGACACCTAGTGGCAGAGACAAGTACTGCGGTGAACTCTCAGGACGGAAGGTGAATATTGCAGCCACGCTGTCTCAGTTCTCTCACCTTGTATTGGGCGGTTCATTTTCGTGTTGTTTTTGGCTGGAGTTCAGTTTAAACATTTTGTCATTTGGGGTCTGGAATGTCGTCAGGCGGCTTCTCTTCCCAGAGTCGGGAAATTCCCGCCAACCTAAAACACCCCAAACATGTCACACGGGATGCGGGAAACTCACCCCGGATATAAAAATAGAAATTTTCAGGTGAATGATTGGAATGAATGAATCGGTAATGAGGGAGAAGTCACACCGGATTACTCACGCTGCAACAATGGAGGAAATGATTACAGATGAAGTTTAATCAGTTTATATGTCGCCTTCCCTGTTTCCCCAATCAACCCTTTCCGTTCTCATTACATACCTTATTTATAACCAGTGACATCATCACTGGGTCCCTGTGCTTCTCTATGCATTGCAGGCAGATCATGGCTGGTGGGAGGGGTCAGAAGGGTGCTGTACATACCTTCCCGAAAACATCACAATATTCCTCTTAACCCCTCGCCTACTGGGCACTTCTACCCCCTTCCTGCCTACTGGGCACTTCTACCCCCTTCCTGCCTACCGGGCACTTCTACCCCCTTCCTGCCTACCGGGCACTTCTACCCCCTTCCTGCCTACCGGGCACTTCTACCCCCTTCCTGCCCAACCGGGCACTTCTACCCCCTTCCTGCCTACCGGGCACTTCTACCCCCCTTTCCTGCCTACCGGGCACTTCTACCCCCTTCCTGCCTACCGGGCACTTCTACCCCCTTCCTGCCTACAGGACACTTCTACCCCCTTCCTGCCAACCGGGCACTTCTACCCCCTTCCTGCCTACCGGGCACTTCTACCCCCTTCTGCCCTGCCTACCGGGCACTTCTACCCCCTTCCTGCCAACCGGGCACTTCTACCCCCCCCTTCCTGCCTACCGGGCACTTCTACCCCCTCCCTGCCTACCGGGCACTTCTCCTGCCCCCTTCCTGCCTACCGGGCACTTCTACCCCTTCATGCCTACCGGACACTTCTACCCCTTCCTGCCTACCGGGCTGCCTACTTCAAATTACCCCCTTCTGGCCTACGGGGCACTTCTACCCCCTTCCTGCCTACCGGGCACTTCTACCCCCTTCCTGCCTACCGGACACTTCTACCCCTTTCCTGCCTACAGGGGCACTTCTACCCCCTTCCTGCCTATGGGGCACTTCTACCCCCTTCCTGCCTACGGGACACTTCTACCCCCTCCTGCCTACCGGGCACTTCTACCCCCTTCCTGCCTACGGGGCACTTCTACTCCCTTCCTGCCTACCGGGCACTTCTACCCCCTTCCTGCCTACCGGGGCACTTCTACCCCCTTCCTGCCTACTGGGGCACTTCTACCCCCTTCCTGCCTACCGGGCGCTTCTACCCCCTTCCTGCCTACCCCCGGGGCGCTTCTACCCCCTTCCTGCCTACCGGCGCACTTCTACCCCCTTCCTGCCTACCGGGCACTTCTACCCCCTTCCTGCCTACAGGACACTTCTACCCCCATCCTGCCTACCGGGCACTTCTACCCCCTTCCTGCCTACAGGACACTTCTACCCCCTTCCTGCCTACCGGGCACTTCTACCCCTTCCTGCCTACAGGGACATTTCTACCCCCTTCCTGCCTACAGGGCACTTCTACCCCCTTCCTGCCTACAGGGCACTTCTACCCCCTTCCTGCCTACCTGGGACACTTCTACCCCCTTCCTGCCTACCGGGCACTTCTACCCCCTTCCCCCTCCCCCCAGGCCAATTTCCAGCTTTCAGCGCTATCACACTTTGAATGACAATTGCGCGGTCATGCAACACTGTACCCATATGAAATTTTTATCATTGTTTTGTGACAGATAGAGCTTTCTTATGGTTGTATTTAATCACCTCGGGGGGGGGGGGGGGGTTATTTTTCCTAAACAAAGCAAAAATCACTGAAAATTTTGAAAAAAAAATTTTTTTTTTAGTTTTTGTTATAAAATATTGTAAATAAGTGATTTTTCTCCTTCACTGATGTGTGCTAATGAGGCTGCAGTGATGGGCACTGATAGGCTGTACTGATGGGCACTGATGAGGAGGCACTGGTAGGTGGCACTGATGGGCATTGACAGGCATCACTGATGGGCACTGAAAGGGCAGCTGATATATGGCATTGATTGGTGGCACTGTTAGGCGGCACTGACTGGCACTGATAGGCAGCACTGATGCACACTGATAGGTGGCACTGACTGGCAGCACTGATAGGTGGCACTGAAAGGAAGCTCAGATGGGCACTGATATGTGGCACTGATGGACATTGACAGGTGGCACTGATCATCAGGGCACACTGGTCATCGGTGCTCTGATGATCAGTGTACATGTCCCCTTTGAGGGATGCTGATTACCGGCTCTCCGCTCCTCTCCTCTGTCAGTGTGACGGCTCGAGAGGAGAGAAATGCCGATACCCAGCATTTCCCTATTTTACATGCAATCAGCTGTGATTGGACACAGCTGATCACATGACCGATCCGACATCTTTGGCTCTTTCCATGGATCAGTGATCCGCTGTATCCGAGGACACAACGCACCACCGATCGCCGCGCTGTGCGCTCCCTGAGCCGCAGATGTGCAGTTAGACATCATATGACTCCTCCCAGAATGAGCGAACCGCCTTGCGCCCGTCATTGGACTATATGGTGAGCGGGAGGCAGTTAAGAGCGCTCAATACTGATGCAAGCAGTGGGCTGGCTCTTGGAGGAGTTATGCAAATATCAAAATGCCTTCATGGGTAGATGTCAGTCTGGAGAAGTGGGTGGTCCTTGACCAGCTGCATTTGCATGCGGTCCGCCTTAGGTTACACCCACGTGTGGTGACTAAAATGAAGTCCAATGAATGAAAGGGGCGGGGGTCAGGGACAGTCAGGCTGGGGAGGAAAGTGCTAGATGATGATGGGCGTCCTCCAGCCTGGAAATGAGGTGGACTCTATCTGACTTGTGAGACGCTCCCAGTGTGCAGTGACATCAGAGGAAGCCGCTTCATTCCGGAGAAGAGCCAGTACACCTGTGCAAGACTGAAGGGGAGGAGCCGATACACCTGTGCAAGAATGAAGGGGAGGAGCCGGTATAACTGTGCAAGACTGAAGGGGAGGAGCCGGTACACCTGTGCAAGACTGAAGGGGAGGAGCCAGTACACACTGTGCAAGACTGGAGGGGAGGAGCTGGTACACCTGTGCAAGACTGAAGGGGAGGAGCTGGTACACCTGTGCAAGACTGGAGGGGAGGAGGCGGTACACCTGTGCAAGACTGAAGGGGAGGAGTCGGTACACCTGTGCAAGACTGAAGGGGAGGAGTCGGTACACCTGTGGAAGACTGGGGGGGAGGAGCCGGTACACCTGTGCAAGACTGAAGGGGAAGAGCCGGTACACCTGTGCAAGACTGAAGGGGAGGAGCCGGTACACCTGTGCAAGACTGAAGGGGAAGAGTCGGTACACCTGTGCAAGACTGAGGGGGAGGAGCCGGGTACACCTGTGCAAGACTGAAGGGGAGGAGTTGGTACACCTGTGCAAGACTGAGGGGGTGGAGCCGCTACACCTGTGCAAGACTGAGGGGGAGGAGCCGGTACACCTGTGCAAGACTGAAGGGGAGGAGCCGGTACACCTGTGGTAGACTGGAGGGGGAGGAGCTGGAACACCTGTACAAGACTGAAGGGGAGGAGCCAGTACACCTGTGCAAATACCGAAGGGGAGGAGCTGATACACCTGCGCAAGACTGGAGGGGGAGAGGCCGGTTCACCTGTGGAGGACTGGAGGGGGAGGAGCTGGTACACCTGTGCATGGTGACGTCATTTCTGGTTTTGGACAGCAGCCGCCATCTTGATACACCCATCTCTGCCGTTTTATGTACTACATGCCTGTATGGGTCTGTGGACGTGGATTTTTATGTGCGTTTTATTTTTAATAAATTTGAGAACATATTACACTGTGGGAAGTCCCTTGTGATTTGTTCTTTCACGTGTGGCCCGTGTGAGAGGATTCCTTTGGTGAGACACGGAGGGGACATCCGAGGTATTACTGTTGGGTGCATTTATTTGGAGCAGGGGCGGACTGACCAATCGAGCACTTGGGCACTGCCCGAGGGCCCGGGGTCAGTAGGGGGCCCAATGAAATGCCCCTGGTACCTTTTTTATAGGCTTTTTTGAGTGTGGGCAAGGACATAAGGGCCCCATGATCCGCTATTGCCCGGGGGCCCCATGAGTTGTCAGTCCTCCCCTGATTTGGAGCATACATGACCATAGCCATAGCTGAGAGAGGATTTCCTGGACGCATGATAGAGGGGACATCTAAGGATATCATCGCTGAGCTAATTCGTTTGAAGTGTGTGTGGCCCTTTACGGGTCATGGATGGAGGGGAGCGCGCACGCCAGCTGGTGCAGGAGCTTTATCAGTGGTCACTGGTTGATTCCCAGTTCACTGAAGATTTATGCACTGATTAGGACTCTGCACTTTATATATGATTTCATTGGTCACTATTCGTTATTTCTGCCTTTTCACTAAACACTGAATTTATTCATTATTATATCAACATTTATTGGTTTATTATTTATTGTTGCATTTATGTCTCCATTTGGTGTTATCTTCTCTAATGGTTGTATTTGGTGCTCTGCGGGGCGTTTATTTCTATATTCAGCCTGATTGTGATAAGGTATTTGTTGAGGAGCGCAGCGTCAGGTTTTCATTATATCTCTTTACACGGGTTGGATCACGGTAGGGTGCTTTACACGGGTTGGATCACGGTGGGATGCTTTACACGGGTTGGATCACGGTGGGGTGCTTTACACAGGTTGGATCACGGTAGGGTGCTTTACACAGGTTGGATCACGGTGGGGTGCTTTACACGGGTTGGATCACGGTGGGGTGCTTTACACGGGTTGGATCACGGCGGGGTGCTTTACACGGGTTGGATCACGGTGGGGTACTTTACACGGGTTGGATCACGGTGGGGTGCTTTACACGGGTTGGATCACAGTGGGGTGCTTTACACGGGTTGGATCACGGTGGGGTGCTTGCTGCAACTCTTGCACCTTCGGTGTCGTTGGCAGCGCAGGAGGAGTTTTATGTTCATTCATTTCTATATTGGCTTCACTAGATATATGGAGCTCAGCCTTGTTCTAGGTCAGCAAATCACAACGGATGAGGATGATGACCCAGGAACCGACCCCTACAGTCAGCCTATGAGCGCTGTGAGGGCCCCTGGCCATCTATTTAAAGGGAAACTGTCCGGGGAACTGTGTGCCGCATTGGTGGCTTGGACTGACCTATGAGGACGGGGTGAGGGATTCCACCTCAGTATATATATATATATATATATATATATAAAATTCATACAACAAATATATAAAGTGTGGTTAAAGCCATGTATACACAATGTACCCCCAGTATACGGCACAAGGTACACAAAAAATGATCCTTTAAAGAGGACCAGTCACCAGTGCTGATAATAGACCAAGATGTGCTCTCCATACTTCCCCACATTATGGTCCTGGATCCTGGGACCGCAGTCTTCACACTGCCTGCCTGCTTTCCAGGTGGGAGCACCCAAATCACACCCACTTTACAGGACTGCCCAGATTACAGGATGTGGCCCACCCACAGATGGGCCCGCCCAGATCCCACCCCTAAATATGTGACAACCACCCGTCACGCCCACTTTACAGGATGGGCCCACCCAGATCCCACCCCTAAATATGTGACAACCACCCATCACATCTACTTTAACAGGATGGGCCCCGCCCAGATCCCACCCCTAAATATGTGACAACCACCCATCACACCCACTTTTCAGGATAGGCCCCCGCCCAGATCCCACCCCTAAATATGTGACAACCACCCATCGTACCCACTTTACAGGATGGGCCCACCCAGATCCCACCCCTAAATATGTGACAACCACCCATCACACCCACTTTACTGTATGGACCCACCCACATCCCACCCCTAAATATGTGACAACCGCCCATCACACCCACTTTACAGGATAAGCCGGCCAGATCCCACCCCTAAATATGTGACAACCACCCATCGTGCCCACTTTACAGGATGGGCCCGCCCAGATCCCACCCCTAAATATGTGATAACCACCCATCACACAAACTTTACAGGATGGGCCCGCCCAGATCCCAGCCCTAAATATGTGCTAACCACCCATCACACGCAACTACTCTCTAGTTCCCTGGTCTCCTCCCATGCCCGTCTCCAGGACTTCTCCAGGGCTTCCCCCATCCTCTGGAACTCCCTACCCCAATCCATCAGACTATCACCTACTCTCCTCACCTTTAGGCGTACCCTGAAAACCCACCTCTTCAGGGAAGCCTACCCCACCCTCACCTAACAGCCGATCTCCACTCTTCCTACCACTCCATCCCCCACAGCCATTCCTCCTGTACCACTATCCCCCTCCCTCCTAGATTGTAAGCTCCAAGGAGCTGGGCCGTCGAACCCCTCATGTATTGTATTGTTACTGTCTCGTGTATTGTCTCCCATTGTAATGTACAGCGCTGAGCGAACTGTTGGCGCTTTATAAATACTGTATAATAATAATAATAATGTGACAACCGCCCATCACACCCACTTTACAGGATGGGCCCGCACAGATCCCACCCCTAAATATGTCATAACCACCCATCACGCTCACTTTTCAGGATGGGCCCGCCCAGATCCCACCCCTAAATATGTCATAACCACCCATCACGCCACTTTACAGGATGGGCCCGCCAGATCCCACCCCTAAATATGTCATAACCACCCATCACGCCCACTTTTCAGGATGGGCCCACCCAGATCCCACCCCTAAATATGTGACAACCACCCATCATAGTGCCCACTTTACAGGATGGGCCCACCCAGATCCCACCCCTAAATATGTGACAACCGCCCATCACACCCACTTACAGGATGGGCCCGCCCCAGCCCAGATCCCAGCCCTAAATATGTGACAACAGCCCATCACAGCCACTTTACAGGATGGGCCCGCCCAGATCCCGCCCCCTAAATATGTGACAACCACCCATCACAGCCACTTTACAGGATAAGCCCGCCCAGATCCCGCCCCTAAATATGTGATAACCACCCATCACGCCCACTTTTACAGGATGGGCCCTCCCAGATCCCACTGCTAAATATGTGATAACCACCCATCACGCAAACTTTACAGGATGGGGCCCGCCCAGATCCCACCCCTAAATATGTGACAACCACCCATCACGCCCACTTTACAGGATGGGCCCACCCAGATCCCACCCTAAATATGTGACAACAACCGCCCATCACACCCACTTTACAGGATGGGCCCACCCAGATCCCACCACTAAATATGTGACAACCACCCATCACACCCACTTTACAGGATGGGCCCGCCCAGATCCCACCCCTAAATATGTGATAACCACCCATCACGCAAACCTTACAGGATGCTAAATATGTGATAACCACCCATCACGCCTTTACAGGATAGGCCCAGATCTTACCCCTAATTGTGTGATAACCACCCATCACGCCCACTTTACAGGATGGGCCCGCCCAGATCCCACCCGCCCAGACTTTACATGGGCCCCCCTAAATATGTGACAACCACCCATCACGCCCACTTTGCAGGAATGGGCCCCGCCCAGATCCCACCACTAAATATGTGATAACCACCCATCACGCAAACTTTACAGGATGGGCCGCCCAGATCCCACCCCTAATTATGTGATAACCAACCATCACGCCCACTTTACAGGATGGGCCCGCCCAGATGCCCAGATTCCACCCCTAAATATGTGACAACACCCATCACACTCACTTTACAGGATGGGCCCGACCAGATCCCACCCTAATTATGTGATAACCACCAGCACGCCCACTTTACAGGATGGGCCCGCCCAGATCCCACCCCTAAATATGTGAAAACCACCCATCACGCAAACTTTACAGGATGGGCCCGACCAGATCCCACCCCTAAATTATGTGACAACCAACCAGCACGCAAACTTTACAGGATGGGCCCGCCCAGATCCCACCCCTAAATATGTGACAACCGCCCATCACACCCACTTTACAGGATGGGCCCGCCCAGATCCCGCCCAAATCCCACCCCTAATTATGTGATAACCACCCATCACGCTCACTTTCTGCAGTTACTGGGCCAAATGATTCCCCAATGAGGGGGGACAATAATAATAATAACATGTTAGGAAATGCCTAATAATCCAATAAGCAGATGCGGTTTGATGACAGGGCCTCTTTAAGGGCAGAATCATTTTGGGGTTCTCTGTGAATTTACTCCTAGATAGACAGACTGTATAGGAAATACCAACTCATGACCCACGAAAGAGGTCACCCAACCACGTGACCTGAAACCATTAGCTGATTGGTTCTGAGAATGACCAACTGACCAATAGGCACGATCACACGGTCCCGGTCCATACCATACAGACAAGGACTGGGCTTGGCGGACCCTCTGGGAT